TTATTTCAGTAACCATGATTTACATTACTGTCAATGAAAGGGTTTCATGCACATAACATATCATACCCTCCACCAGAATGTTCACCTACATCCTCTTCCTAGATAGATTCCTATTGAAGTCCATAGATTTTGTTGCCTTTGGGCACTTTTGGATATATCACACATAAGAGAGATCATTCGGTGATAGTACTTTTCTTTCTGACTAGCTTCACTCAGCATGATTCTGTCCAGATCATGCAAATTACATGATTCCATCTTTTTTTTAAAGCTGAGAACTATTCCAGTGTATACACACACACAGAATATGTATATGAGGTATATATGCTGCCTGAGTTCATGTGCTGCTTGCGCCCATGTGGCCGAGCACATGTGGGCTGAGCACTTGTGTTGCCCGCATCTCCCCTCTTGAGATGTGTACTTTCATGCTTTTGTGTCTAATGCTAGGATGTGTGTATGGGCTCTCTTCGCCCTTGGAGAAGCCCGTGTTCTCTCTTGAGTACGTTACTCTCACTCTCTCCTCCTCCACACCTTAAAAATCCTCCAAATAAAATCTATCTCTTTAAAAAATATGTATATGTATTATTCAAAGAAGCATCTCTCTCTCTATATATTCATATATATGTAGAGAGAGATACTTCTTTAAAAATCAAGTCATCTGTTTTTCTTATTTTATTTATTTATTTTTGTATTTATTTATTGAATCACTGTGGGAAAAGTTACAAAGCTTTCGGGTTTAAGTCTCAGTCATGCAATGGTCAAACACCTTTCCCTTTACCAGTACTCATTTTTCACCACCAAGAACCCCAATATACTTCCCCTCCCACCCCTCCCAATGCCTGTGAGGTAGATAAGCTCTAATTCTCATCTACTTTGATCACATTCACCACCTCAACAAAAGATGCACCATTTTTTTTAGAGTCTACACCCAACAATCGGAACTACCAAAAAGGCATTGTGAAATAATTTGCCTTCTACAGCTGGTTATGAGAACCACATGATGCTGCGTGATTTTGGATTTCTAATATTTTACTTATTAAGCCTGAAGGGATTTCTGCCAAGAACCAGATAATTAAGAGATTGGTTTCTGTGGCTTTGGAGCCATGGCCGTGCTGGAGAGCCACTTGAGCGGGGCAACTCGTGACCTCGGTAGGATGTGAAGGACGAGCCAGGAATGCCCCCCTTCCCATGAGGTTGCAATTGCCCCGTCACTGCCAGCTCATATCTGGCTTTCCTAAAAGCTCTGAGGTGGCCACCATCTTGCTGCCCAGAGGGAAAAAGGCGAAAGGGAGCGACACCCCTTCCCTCCTGGGGAGGCATGTTACCGTGGATTAATGCATAGTCCATTCACTTTTCTGCTGCAAGCTGCCAGGCTCTGCATTAAGTCCTTGTGCCTCTGGAGCCATGGCTGTGCTGGAGAGCTGCTCATGGGGGACAACTCGTGACCTCAGTAGGGCGTAAAGGACGGGCCAGGAATGCCCCACTTCAAGACGTTGCAGTTGCCCCATCACCGCCAGTTCATACCTGGCTTTTCATCTTGCTGCCCAGGGGGAAAAAGGTGGAATGTCAGTACATATTTTAAGGCAATAAATTTTACCTTTTTTCTTTCCTGGGTTTAGGAAGAAATTTTTAGGTTTTATTAAGTGGCATCTGTTTAGTTTTCTGATAGCTAAACTTTTTCAATTTATGGATCTTTTTCAAAATTAATTAGAATTGATTAAATAAATTTTAGTTCATTAAAAATACTACTACTGTTTTATGCCCCACCAAGACCACGAGTTGTCCCCCACGAATGGCTCTCCAGCACAGCCATGGCCCCAGAGGCACAAAGACCTAATTTGGAATCCAGCAGCTTTTGGCAGAAATATGAATGGACTATGCAGTAAGCTATGGCACCGTGTCCCTCCCCTCCCCTGTCCCTTCTGCCTTTCCCCCCACACCCTGGCGGCACGGTGGCCACCGTCTCGGAGCCTATTGGACAGCTAAGTATGAGCCGGCGGTGACAGGGCAACTGTGGGAACCAGAACATCCTTCCTGCCCCGCTGAGACCATGAGTTGCCCCACATGAGTGGCTCTCCTTCACAGCCATGGCCCCAGAGACACACAAACTAATCTTGGAACTATGCGGCTTTTGGCAGAAATCCCTCCAGATTTAATTAGTAAAATATCAAAAATCCAAAATCGATCGTGGCTTCACGACATCACTTGGTCTTCATAACCAGCAATAGAAAACAAATTATTTCATGATGCCTTTTCAACAGGTCTGATTGTTAGGGGAAAATTCCAAATAATAATGGTGCATCTTTTGTCGAAATAATGAATGTAATCAAAGTAGAGAAAGAGTTCAGTGGAAATCATCTGCATCACAGACAGGGGAGGGGTGGGATGGGGGGTATATTGGGGTTCTTGGTGGTGGAAAATATGCATTGGTGAAGGGAGGGTGCTGGAACATTGTATGACTGAGACTTAAACCTGAAGCTTTGTAACTGTTCTCATGGTGATTCAATAAATAAATTTAAAAAAACACTACAAGTATTTTCTTCACCCCAAGGAATTTGTGTTCAATTCTACTAAAACATTTTCATTTGGTTAAAACTGGGTGTTGGCAAACTTTGACCGGTAGTAATACATGGTATAATATATTTTCTTAAAACTCCAAATCTAAAGGGTTATTTAAAATTTCTTTTTATTAGTGAATCACCGTGAGGTACAGTTACATTCTTAGAAACGTTCGTGCTTGGTTTTAGTCATACAATGATTGAGTACCCATACCTCCACCAGTGCCCATTCTCTACCACCAATGGTCCTAGAATTCCTCCCACCATCCCCATCCCATCTGCCTCCTGCTCACCCCGCCTCTGTGGCAGGGCATTCCTTTTTGTTCTGTTTGTCCTTTTGGATATTGTAGTTTGCAATAGAGGCATTGACTAGCCATTGTATTCGATCCATAGTCTACATTCAGCACACATCTCCCAACCCGAGTGGGTCCTCCAAACACTCTTTACTTGGTGTACCCTTCTCTACCTCAGCTGCCGTTTCCCCCAGCATTTGAAGCCAATTCCAAGCCGTGGAGTAAACCTCCTAGTCTTGTCTCTATTATTCTTGGGTGTTAGTTTCCCATTCTGTTACTTTTCATTCCACAGATGAGTGCAATCTTTCTATGTCTGTCCCACTCTTTCTGACTCATTTCACATAACATAATACTTTCCATGTTGATTTACTTTATATGAAAATTTCAGACTTCATTTTTCTAACAGCTGCATAGTATTCCACTGTGTAGATGTACCAGAGTTTCTTTAACCCGTCATCTATTCTTGGGCACTCGGATGTTTTTTTTCCAGATTTGGTTATTGTAAGCAGTGCAGCAATGAACATACAAGTGCAGATGTCATTTCTACTATGCTCTTTTACCTCTCTGGGAAATATTCCCAGAAGTGGTATTGCTGGGTCAAATGGGAGCTCAATTTCTAACATTTTTGAGAACCTCCCATACTGTTTTCCAAAAGGGTTAAACCAGTTGGCATTTCCACTAGCAGTGAAGGAGAGTCCCTTTCTCTACACATCCGCGCCAACATTGGTTGCTTTTTTCTTTTTGATGTGTGCCAGGTGTGAGATGATATTTCATTGTTGTTTTGATCTGCATGTCCCTGATGATTAGTGATGAAGAGCATTTTTTATGTGTATTTTGGCCATTTGGATATCTTCTTTGAGAAAGTTTCTGTTCATTTCATCACCCCATTTTCTGATGGTGTTGGATGTCTTCTTTCTGTAGAGTTTAACCAGTGCCTTGTATATCCTTGATATCAGCCCCTTATCAGATGGGTATTGGGTAAATATCCTTTCCCATTCTGTAGACTGTCTTTTTATTTTGGTCACTGTTTCTTTTGAGGTGCAGAAGCTCCTTAGTTTAAGATAGTCCCATTTCTTTTTAAAATCTCTGTTTCCACTTGCTTGGCCAGTGGCGTGTCATCTTTGAAGATACCTTTAGCTTCGTTGTTGTGGAGGGTTTTGCCAACCTTGTCTTCAATGTATTTTATGAACTCTGGTCTGATGTTGAGGTATTTAATCAATTTTTATCTGATTTTTGTACATTGTGTTAGGTAGATATCTGTGCCATTTTTTTTTGCGTGTAACTGTCCAGATTTGCCAGCACAATTTGTTAAAGAGGCTTTCCTTGCTCCACTTCACATTTCTTGCTCCTCTAAGGGTTAATTTTGTTTTTTTTCATGTTTAATAAATTGAGGCAAATCACATGAAAAGCTAGGAAGAAAATTCTTCCCTGAGCTGTGAAGACTCTATGAAATACATATGTCATTGTCCACAGATGTGTGAACAGGCCTGTCCTTACTCAGCTGCTCAATGCCAGTGGTTGTTTTTACCCATGAGTGGCAGGGCTGAGAACTTGTGACAGAGAAAGTGAACTGCAGAGTTGAAAGCATTAATTTTACTATTTTGCTCTTTTTGGAAAATAAGATGACTCCTTTAGACCTTCATGGGATCACACATTCATCCTTTCATACAACCATACTACTAGGAAGGAGACTTCGGTCATGAGTAAAAAAGAATTAAACTTGTTTAAAGGATAAGTACAATTATCTTTTTTGGGGGGATAGGGCACGGCCAGCAGTGCTCAGGGGTTGCTCCTGGCTCCGCATCAGGAATTATCCCTGGTGGTGCTCGGGGGACCAGATGGGATGCCAGGGATGGAACTCTGGTTGACTGTGTGCAAAGTTAATGCTCTACTCACTGTCCTATTTCTCCAGCTCCAAGTCAGCTGAATCAGAATAGTTCTCATTCACATGGACAAGCTTGAGGCATGGGGTAGCTACTCTTGGGAACTCTCTTGGCTCTTCACATCATACTGGCTGTCTTTGTTCTCCAATACACTCCTAATGTAGACAGATTGTTTGAAACCTTCTGTGAAACATAAATGAAACTTCCCTGACAATACAAGGAGAGTTATCTGTGGTCATTGGTTCCCAGGGATTTCGGATATTTATGCTTTAGCAAATGTAGTTCAGGAACATGTTAATCTGATACCCAAGTACTTGGTCAGGTGGGTGAACATTGTTGGAATTGTAGGCAATGGTCATGTCCCAGACATCAATGGTACCCACATTGAGGTCTTTGAAAATGTCTTTCATGATGAGATATTGAATGTAGCCATGGAAGTCTCCAAACCACTCTGTGTTGATGTGCATCTCTCGGATATTTTCTGTCTTCACAATCACCTTAGTGGCTGGACTTCTAATGAATAGCCGCTCAATAGCATTTCGAATGCTGATGGTCCTGCGAATGAAAATGTCAATGGGAAAGGGTCGGAAGTGCTGGCCAATGGTGATGACGATCGCTGTGTTCTTATCACCGGGAATGCGGTCAATTTCCTGACCAATATGCACTTCATCCCTCACAGAGTAGAGCTCCTGGGTGACGAAAGGGTAACTGTGCTTTATCCACCAAATCTGAGTCTGTCTGTCTGCATCCAGAAGCTGATGTTTCTTAAACTTTCCAGTTCCATGAAGATCAAAATATTTTAGTGCTGATAAAAAAATGTTTTTTTCTTTTTACTAGAAAGCAGTGATTATTTAATTAAAAAAAAAAAAAAGACTTACCACTGCCAAATTCTCATTCACCTGGGCCCTTTTGTTTTCTTCTGGGGGTGTATCTTGTTAATTTTTTTGACTCTTTTTACTGCTGGGAATAGGGTTGTGGATTACTCCCAGATAAGTGCTCAGGGATAAACCTGGGGCCCCACATATAGAATGTGTGCCCCATCCGGTTGTACCATCTATCTGTGTCTCCAACGAGATAATTTCTAGGGGGAGAATGCTAAGAAAAGTACTTGCTCCTCTGTGTGAAATGTCAGCCAAAATGTAAACTCATCATTGGAATATATAGAGAAACCAGTACTTCCATGAAAAAATGCTTCAGTTGTATTTTAAGCTTAAAGGCTCAAATCTAGAAAGCTAAGTACAACTCAAAAGAACCAACACAGGAGACTAGAAGTCGCTGTGAAAGTACCTCAAAGTCAGCCTGAATTCCCAGAAGAAGGGAAAATTCACCTACTTTTTACAACGTTGGGTAAGTAGTAGATCCACTGGCGCAGTGTGGAGTCTCCAAGGAGATAAACGAGTTTTCCTTTCAAACAGTCAGTTGCTTTAGCAGCATCAAACTGAATCTGGTCACAGAATGTCGTCACCCACTTTCCGCTCAAAGTGTAGCCGCCGGGGAAGGGTACCTCTATGCCAATGTGGCATTTCTCTTTCTTTCTCTGGCTCTCTGGGGGCAGAGATAGTGCTGGGGACAGAGGTAGCAGATGTGAGTGCTTGATTAGCATAAGTTAAATATCCGTTCTTTCTCTCTAACTCAGGTTCTACCTTTGTCTACAAAAGTTAACTTTGTCCTACTACCTGCTTTGAGGAAAACAAAATCACTCAGTGGCACCCTAGAAATCTTCCTACTTGAAATAGAATATACCTCTAGCCTAGCATCCCTCTTTCTGGAGAGCATTACCCTCCAGTTTAGACTTCCCCTCATATCCGAATCCTGCCAATATTCCTGCTATTCTCCATCACTGGCCTGTCAGACGCATTTGGGAACCTCTCCTTAAAGCCGTCTTGATCTTTTCTTTTCTTATTTTTCAAAGCAAGATAGTTTTTTAAATTAAAACTTATCTAGAAATATTTGAGGGCAGAAGGGGGAAGTGTGTGTTCAAGAGAGAACACGGACTTCTCCAGAGTGGAAATAGGCCAGCAAAAATACACAGACCAGCAAGTGAGATCTGTGTGCAAGGGAGAGCAACTCAGGCTTGAAGAACAAGCCTTGGTCTTTTGAGATCCTTTGTGTCATGGTGATGCCACCCAATTCATTTTCTCCCAGGTCTGCTCACTGCCCTACTATTGTTCTTTGCCATCAGTGCTGATTTGCTTTGTCTCTTCCTGAAGGTCTGAACCTAACAACTGTGCCTTTGCATCTGAGTTTTATTATTGAGGCAATGTGTTTTTCTTCCATAATTCTTTGTAAGAATATAAAGAAAATTCTTTTTAAATTTTTTTAATCTTTTTTTTTATTTTGACGTTACCCAGATGTGCTCATGGCTTATGCCTGGCTCTGTGCTCAGGGATCACTTTTGTTGGGGCTGAGGGGACCTTATGCAGTCCCAGGGATCAAATGGGGGTTGGCCGAATGCATGACAAGTACCTTAACCCTTATGCTATCTCTCCAACCCAATTTTCAAAAGTTTAAAACAATATATAGGTGCACAAGTTAAAAACTACTGCACTGCACCGTAGCACTGTCCTCCCATTGTTCATCAATTTGCTTGAGCGGGCCCAGTAACGTCTCCATTTTGAGACTTGTTGTTACTGTAGCTTAAAATATTTTCAGATAGGAGCCGTTCTGCCGCCCTCTGTTCATTCATCCAGGTACCCGCCTGGCAGCAGGGCCCCTTCCCAGGGCTGCTTGTCTAACTAGATCCCCTGAGAATGGCCAGTTTTCATCCTTGCTCTGCGGGAGACGGGAATTGAGTCACACTGTGCGAGCCCAAAGCTGAGCCGTTCTGCCACCCTCTTCTCATTCTCCAGGTACTGCCTGGTGGCAGGGCCTCTTCCAGGAGCCAAGGCTGCTAACACAGCTGCTAGTTATTCTCCCCCTACATATCCCATAGGAACCATAAATTACCCTCTTATATGGAACTTTCACTAGGTTAGCTTAACCACCAGAAACACATTAGCCGATAATTCATTAAGCCCATGTCAATTTATTCTGCATTTTAAGCAGAATAGTAACAGTGAGCGTGAAGGTCTAAACCACACAGGTCACAATGGTAAAGCAACGCAGAAGCCCACCTCTTACTTATTGAAGAGGCTAGCCCAGAAGACACCAACAGTAATGAAGTGCTAGACAACCTCTCTGACAAAGAATTTAGAAGGGAGCTACTGAGGATGCTTAGGGAGCTAAAAGAAACAATGAAAAGCAATGCTGATAATAGAAGAGAAGATTTGATGGTAGAAATGAAGAAAATGCAAATAAAATCACAAACAAAATGTCAGACCTGAAAAACCTGCGAGGTGAATTGAAAAACTCAGTGGAAGGCCTCAGCAGCACAGTAACAGCTACTGAGGACAGAATCAGTGAGCTCAAAGATGAAGTCCAGACAGTCTCCAGAAAAGAGTAGAAAATGGAAGAGAGACTCACAACTCGGGAACAGATGGCAAGAGAAGATCGTGATGAAGCCAAGAGAAGTAACACAAGAATTATTGGAGTCCCAGAGGGACAGGAAGAAAACCCTGATGAAGAAGAAACCATCAAAGACATCATTGCTACGAAGTTTCCAGAGCTGAAGAAAACATGCGACCACATTCAGGAGGCCCAAAGGGTACCAGCTAGAAGAAATCCTAATAAAAATACCCCAAGACACATCCTGATCAAAATGACCAAAACCTTAGATAGAGACAAAATTCTAAAAGCAGCAAGATCAGAGAAAGAAATTTCCTATAAAGGAGCATCCTTAAGATTCACAGCTGATTTGTCTGATAAAACCCTCATGGCACGAAAACAGTGGTGGGATATAGTGAAAAAATTCAATGAAATACCTCACCAAAATACTTTACCCAACGAGACTCTCATTCATAACAGAAGGAACAACACACAGTTTCACAGACAAACAACAGCTCAGGGACTTCATAGACTCAAAACCATGGTTACAAGAGCAACTAAATGGGCTACTTTAAGACAAGATAGGCCCCTCAAATACATCAAATTTCAACAGAAAAATGGGATAAACCCCATAACAATAATCTCTCTCAATGTCAATGGGCTAAACACACCAATTAAAAGACACAGAGTGGCAGGATGGATTAGAAAATTTAACCCAACATTCTGCTGCCTGCAAGAAACACATCTCAATAGTCAAAGCAAACACAGGCTCAGAATCAAAGGCTGGAAAACAATCCTACAGGTAAACAACTCCCATAAAAAAGCTGGGGTAGCCATCCTAGTATCTGACAACATTGATTTCAGACTGAAGAAAGTCACAAAAGACAGTGAAGGATAAAGGATCTGTACAATACAGGAAGAACTTACAATACTAAATGTATATGCACCTAATGAGGGGCCAGTAAAGTACTTAAAACAACTACTCATCGACTTGGAGAAAGACATCAATAGCAACACAATACTAGTGGGAGATTTCAACACCACGGTATCACTTCTTGATAGATCAACCAGACTCAAGCTTAGCAAGGACATACTTCATCTGAGGAAAAAAATGGAAGAAAAGGACTTAGTAGATATATACAGGACACTTCATCCTCAAAAAGCTGAATACACATTCTTCTCAAGTGTGCATGGAACATTCTCCAAGATAGACCACATGCTGAGCCACAAAACATACCTCCATAAAATTAAGAAGATAGAGATTGTATCAACAATCTTCTCAGATCACAATGCACTGATTAGAAGTAAATCACACACACAAACAGAAAACTAAATCAAACACATGGAAATTAATCAGTTCACTATTGAACAAAGAGTGGCTTAGAAAGGAAATAAAAGAGGAAATCAAAAGATTCCTGGAAACAAACAAAAATGAGGATACCAGTTACTAAAACTTATGGGACACAACAAAAGCTGTGTTAAGAGCTGTGTTTATAGCTCTACAAGCATTGCTCAGGAAGGAGGAGCAAGCCCACATAAGCAACCCAACCTCACAGCTTAAGAGTTTGGAGAATGACCAACAAAATGAGCACAATCCAAACAGGAGGAAGGAAATAATAAAACTCAGAGCAGAATTAATGAGATGGAAACCCCCAAAAAACAATACGAAAGATCAATGAAACCAAGATCTGGTTTTTCTAGAAAATAAACAAGATCAATAATCCTCTAGCAAAACTAACAAAGAAGGGGAGAAAGAAAACCCTAATAAACCGAATCAAATGAAAAGAGGGTCATTACACAGAAACTACAGAAATTAAAAGGATTCTCAGGGAGTACTTTGAGAAGCTTTATGCCACGGAACACAAAAGTCTCTAGGAAATGGATAAATTCCTAGATTCCTATAGCCTCTAAGGCTGAACCAAGAAGACCTGAAATATGTGAACATACCTATCATCATCAAGGAAATTGAAACGTTAATAAAATGTCTCCCCAAGCACAAAAGTCCTGGCCCAGATGGATCCACTAGTGAATTCTTCCAAATCTTTAAAGAGAACTTACTGACAATCCTCTTTAAGCTTTTCCACAAAATTGAAATATCAAAAACACTTCCAAATAGTTTCTATGAAGCAAATATCACCCTGATACCAAAAGCAGACAGAGTTACCACAAAGAAAGAGAATTACAGGCCAATATCCCTGATGAACACAGACGCAAAGATCCTTAACAAACTATTAACAACTAGAATCCAACAACTCATCAAAAAGATCAGACACCATGACCAAGTGGGATTTATCCCGTGGATGCAAGGATGGTTTGACATTTGGAAATCAATCAACATAATCCATCATATCAACAAAAGAAAAGATAAAAACCATAAGATCATAACAAAAGATGCAGAGAAAGCATTTGACAAGATCCAGCACCCGTTTATGGTGAAAACCCTTGCCAAAATGGGTATAGAGGGGACTTTCCTCAATACAGTTAAAGCCATTTATCACAAGCCTACAGCAAGCATCATCCTTAATGGAGAAAAACTGAGAGCCTTCCCTCTAAGATCAGGGATGAAACAAGGATGCCCACTCTATCCACTGCTTTTCAGTATAATACTGGAAGTACTTACAATAGTGGTTAGGCAAGAATAAGATATTAAGGGCATTCAGGTAGGAAAGGAAGAAATCAAGCTCTCACTATTTGCAGATGATATGATACTATACTTAGAGAACCCTAAAACCTCTACCAAGAAACTCCTAGAAACAATAGACTTGTATAGCAAAGTTGCAGGCTATAAAATCAATACCCAAAAGTCCATGGCTTGCCTATACGCAAATAGTGAGAGAGAAGAAAGTGACATGAAAAAAACAATCCCATTCACAATGGTGCCCCAGAAAATCAAGTACATAGGAATCAGCTTAACTAAGGAAGTAAAGGACCTGTACAAAGAAAACTACAAAATGCTACTTCAGGAAATAAAAGAGGACATGAGGAAATGGAAAAATATCCCCTGCTCATGGATGGGGAGAATTAACACTGTCAAAATGGCAATACTTCCCAAAGCACTGTACAAATTCAATGCGATCCCTATTACAATACCCATGACATTCTTCAAGGAAATGGAGCAAACA